AATAAGCTCATGTTTCTCGTAGTGTTCTGGATATATTCTCAGCTATAATTATTGTTACAGGGAGAGGGGAGGATGTGTTTGTTATAAATTATTTAAAAGCCCATTTTAAAAGTTAGTTCCTTCCCTGTTTTGATTGTTTAAACATTATAGACTTTGTAAATTTTTATGGTACCTAGGAGTTTGTTATTGCTTTTTTCCCAATGGGCTACTAATGGGAGTTAGCCTGTCTACCCCATGTGCTAGATGCTGTTAGTATAAAACTGCCTTTGACTTTCACACCTCTCAGGGGACGAGTAATTGTTGTGTTCAAACAGCCTGTAATTGTGATCCCGCTGGCTTTCTCAGTACGCTTCTGGCTATTAGAATCATTAAACAACTCAGCACCTGTTAACAGCATTGTAAATATTCAACCTTGCTTGTGCGCAGGTTGAGCCGAATATAGGAGAAGGCTTACAGAGCCCAGCCTCATAAATTAGAGCTCCTGACAAGTCAATTATTGTGAAACTGGGTTTCACTGTGAAATAAATGAAATGGTGTGCTGACAAAAAGGTGGGCTGTCTGTTTGCAGCAGAAGGAAAATAATGACTAGATGATTCAATGCAGTGCCTGTGAAACTCCACGATTTTTATTCTTCATCTGCAATTAAATAGTTAGATAATAATAGCTACACACAAAAAAAAACAGTCTGAAAAAAGTGCATATCTGATTATCTACTGTTATTTTAAATGATTTTTAAGCTTATTAATATGATCCTGTTTTAAAAGTGCATGATCATTATAGTTTGTATTCTGTCCAAAATGAAGTGTTTCACTTGAAATTACATGGAGATGCTTTGAGGTCCTATATTTATGTTTTAATCCTTAGCATATTTAGTCAAAAGTAAGTCCCAAGGTGGTTCTTCTCAACTCAGAGGTGTGATTAGGATTGAAGCGTAAGGTTCCAAGCAAAAACAATAAACAAAAAACAACTTTTTATAATGGTAACTTAGTAGTTTTGATTAAGGATATTTTATGTAATTGTAGCTGTACTTTAAAAAGGTATATGATACAGTTTCACATTTTCAGTCTTGCACTTGCCTCGGTAGTCAGAGATCGATGAGGGAATTGCATTATTTGTATTATGTAACATTTAAAACTAAGGTTCATAATTGGATTCTCATTAAATAAGCCCTTTTACAGTTGGACTGCAATTTTGAAATGTGTCTGGGGTTGCAACTAAAAATCCTAAGTCTTGTTAAAATAAAATAACTGCATTAACAAAAATCATTCCTTAAATAATGTGATGATTAATAGTTTTATCAGTATTTCCTTATATTGGTGTGGTGGCAATAAATATATTCATACACTGTTACTTAATTTATCATTATGATTCTAATAATTCTGTCATCTTCATTTCTAGTCAAATTTAAGTCCATTAAAGTCCAGGGGGACTAACTCCTGAAAAAGTCTGTATAGGATTGCAAGCTGTGGCTGCAGTTCTGTATCATTTACCTAGGTGTCAGTCTCCATTAACTCTCTGGATTATACTTCCGAGTAGAGGATTGAAGAGGATTGTATTGTAAATGTATTTTTACTTGAACTTGAATATAATGTGTTTTATGAATATAATAAATGTAAATTATTTTGTGGTCATAATTAGTAATCGATTTATCTTTTAAAAACAGGATCACACTAGTGTTTGAGAAAGTAATTGTTCTTTTCATTAGAGCAGCTATTATTTGTGGTCTGACCTAGCCACAGTGATACATGCCTTAGTTGCATCCTAGCTAGATTACTGTAACTCACTCTACCTAGGACTGCCTTTTGAAAGTGCTCAGAAACTTCAGCAGGTCCAGATGACTGCCGCCAGATTGCTAACTAAGGCTGGTTACAAAAATCACATAACCCCCCCCTTCCCCAATTACAGCAGTTCCACTGGATACAAATTTGTTTTCAGGCACAATTCAAAGTGCTAGTACTAACCTATAAAGCCCTAAATGACTTGGGTCCAAGTTGTCTCAAAGACCATGTCTCTCATTGTGAGCTTGCCCAGTTGTTAAGATAATCAGGAGAGGCCTTTTTCTCTGTCCCACTACCATTTGTTTGGTGGGAACAGGGCACAGATGTCAGAGTATGTTAGAGAAGATAACTGTTTTGAACTGCTGGGTAGTTCAATGGTTTAGGGTTTTAGGCTTTTCTGTTGTTGCACCCAGACTCTGGAACTCCCTTCCACAGGAGGCGAGGCTGGCACCATCATTGCTATCCTTCCTCAAGCAGACAAAGACTTTTTTTAATTTATATTTATTTATTTATTTATTTGTTGGACTTATATACCGCCCCATAGCGCTACAAGCACTAAGACTTTTTTTTACAGACAGACTTTTCCCAAGTGACTGACTCTCTAGGAGACAATAAATGGAATGGTTTACATTTTGTTCTCATTATTTTTTTTAATAATACTTTTATCTAACATTTTAACATGCGATTAATTCCTTTTTAATATTTGAGCATTCTAGTGTTTTAGTTTTTAATATTTATTTATTTATTATTTATTTATTTATTTAACTAAAAGACAAAATAAAAGGGCAAAATAATTAAAATGCAATTAACATATATATTCTAAAAATTGCCATCAGACCTACAGCTGATATTATTTCAGTTAAAAGCCATTTGGAACAGGAAGGTTTTGACCTGGCGCCGAAATGTCATCAGCGTCGGCGCCAGATGAATCTCAGTCTTGTGTTTTTAATAATATAAGTCACTTGGGTCCTTTTTTAAGGAGAAAGACAAGGTAAAATATTTTGAATAAATAAAGATAGACTCATTGCCATACAGTTACAAAATTAACTTTTATCAGTGGTAGTCATTTGATTGGATTATGCCTTCTCAAAGTATTAAAATAAAACAAAATGTCAAGAATTTGAAATTTCTTTAATTGAATTTTGTTATAATATTTTAAAATCTATGTTAAATAAATTATTTTAATTTCATCCCCATAAATGGGAATTAAGCTCCCAACCTAAACAGCTATCTTCTCTAACATACGCCGACCTCTGTCCCAGAAACATCTCTTAGCAATTCTGTGACAGCCTCCTTGGCTGTGACTGGACTCGGGTGAGCCATAGCGTTCCTCCAGCACTGCAGTTCTAATAGTATTTCGCTGAAGACACTGCACATATTTATACCCACAAAATTTTACAGACAGCTGCATTACTGATGTTCGCAGTGCACTAAGTGGAAAATACATTTCAGTGAAGAAGTAAAATATTTCCTTTAATTCTTACGAACAAATGTTACATTCTATTTATTCTTGGCTTAGAAGAGTTTTGTCTCTTTTTAAAACATATATTTACCTGATTAGACCCATGTTGAAATGTCTTTATTACAGTTGTGTAAGTGGAAGCTTTTATTTCATTATCTTAGAATCAGACTATGATCCTATCTAGAGTTTATCTGTATACCTTTTTGGCATGCATCAAAGTTATGAGAATGGTTATGGATAAGCCGCCTAGAGTGGTCGCAATGACCAGATAGGTGGGGAATGAATGAATGAATGAATGAATGAATGAATGAATGAATGAATGAATGAATGAATGAATGAATAAATAAATAACGAGCGAACCACTCTTTGACCTAGCATAGAGGCTTGTTGTCCCACCTCCTGTCAGGAGTAGCGAGCTGAACGTAATCTCCAGAGCCATTAGAAAGTTCTGTGGCACCCACAGTAGTAGAGGATCAGTGAGTGTGTAGCCTTGCGCAACTTGCAGAGAAATCCAGAAGAAGGAAATGGTCAACCACTTCTGAGTACTATACCTAGAAAACCCTGGAAAGGATTGCCATAAGTCAGGACTGACTTGACAATACATAATTATTAGTATGGTAAAGTAGTGTGATGATCCCAACTATGAGGTAAAGGTAAAGGTTCCCCTTGACAATTTTTGTCCAGTCGTGTCCGACTCTAGGGGGCAGTGCTCATCCCCGTTTCCAAGCCATAGAGCCAGCGTTTGTCCGAAGACAGTCTTCCGTGGTCACATGGCCAGTGCAACTTAAACACGGAATGCTGTTACCTTCCCACCGAAGTGGTCCCTATTTATCTACTTGCATTGCATGCTTTCAAACCGCTAGGTTGGCGGGAGCTGGGACAAGCGATGGGAGCTCACTCCATCACGTGGATTTGATCTTACGACTGCTTGGTCTTCTGACCCTGCAGCACAGGCTTCTGCGGGTTAGCCCGCAGCGCTACCACGTGCCGGCCAACTATGAGGTAGACAAGAATAAGTAGTTTAATGTTTAGAATAGCTTATAATCATTCTATCAGCTGAGTTTACGTTTTCATTATCTATTCAAGAACAATAAGGCAGATGAATTTTGTTCTATAGCAAGGAGGCCATTCAAATGTGTGTTCAACTAGCCAAGATAAAATACCTTGGACTTTTTGTATTAGAATAAAAGTGGCACATTTTAAACTGAATAACCCAAACTGTCTTTTAAATAATGCAGCATACAAATAAAAATAGAAAAATAAAAGAAATCAGAATAATCTGGAATATGAGAGATGCAACACAGCTGTTTAGCATATGTATAAAACCATTTAGTAACAAATATATATCCTGTACGTTGTATTGAAAAGAATATGGATGCTGTTGGGTGACTTCTAATAATGTACTACATTTTTTTCCTAGTTGATAAAAACCCATCTCAAGAAGTAGCCAAAAATGTCCATATATCTTTCCAATGTAGGGCTAGCTAAATTTAAGAATGAAAAGTTATCTTCCAGTATTTATGGAGCTACCATGGGATGGGATGGGAGGTTTAAGGACGCATGTCTCCTTATCTAAACATACCCTTGCAATTATTTGTGAACTATAGTCAGACAAATGTAGCATTTTAAATAATATTCAGCTTCTACTCCAAATATATCACTACTCTGCTTGTAGTCATGTTCTGCACTATGTTACATGATGTCCTTATATGCTAGGAATGTATAAAAATAATTTACTGTATTACTTTTCTCTAATGCAGTTATTATAATCTAGAGGATGTGAGCCATGACAATGTGAACAAATTCCTTTCAAACCTTGTTGAGAAATCACTGATTGATCTAGAATACTCTTACTGCATTAAAATAGGGGAGGTAAGACCAATCTATATTTTGTTCAACATTTGAAAAGAAAAATTTGGCAGTAGTCATCTTTATTAGGGATTACCCTTTATCCTGTTGTTTGTGTATTATGAAATATACATAGGTTGCTGTAGAACCTCTTGTTGCATTTCAGTTACTTTAAACAGGTAACATGCTGTTCAAATGTATTTGTGATTCAGATCTTGCTGTTATCTAGTTTTAAAATACAACACCTCCATTATAATACTATATAAAATGTGTTAAACTGCAGAAGACTGCTTGGCATTTTGTATGAAATGTATATAATATATCCCTATATGTAACAGGATGACCGCAGCATTGAACCACTAACTCATGGACGCATTGCATCATATTACTACTTGAAACATCCAACTGTCAGAATGTTCAAGGATCGCTTAAAACCAGAATGTAGTGTTGAAGAACTGCTCTCAATTCTGACAGTAAGTTACCTTATCTTATTATTTAGGATGAATAATTCCTAACTCAAATTAAATGACTTTTCCCCACTGCCACATCAGCAATACTATTATTAAATGGGACACATGCTATAAAATACAGTTGTTAACTTCCTTCATGGTCTTGCCTTACCTTGTGTAATCACCATTTTATTTTCTCAAAATCTCTCCATAAACATGGCAGTCACCTGAGACATAGAATTTCCATTGTTATAGCCCTAAATCCAAGAGTGCATTGGCACCCAGTGTTAGTGTGACAGAACTTTCTTCCCACTGATCCACCCCCGGCCCTTCACTTGGAAATAAGTTGTAGAAGATCTCCCACCCATCAGAAATAGATTTTGGGATCACAGGGTACAGTGAGGGATAGGAGAGAGCCTCCCTTTTGCTTCGACTGATGAGTAACATTTCATCAGTTGATGAATCCCATCAGATCCTGTCTATAGTAAGTACACAACCTCCTGTAGGAGCATTGCTTAACATCTGTGTGTTCACATTCAATCTATCTTGTGTATTTAGTTCCTCGTGGATAAGGTAATAATGCAGATTGTAAATAAATAAGATTCAAGGGGTTTGAATCACTTTAATTTGAAAAATATTTCTAAATGAACCCTAATGCTTCTTAAAGTTGTGAATCTTTTCATAGCAGATGCTGAAAGTCAACTATTGTTTTCTTCAGATAATAGTCTTGAAGATCCTTTTGTTCTAAATTATTCACACTGCTTAATATTGTTATAAATTGTGCTATAACGTTGGAATGTTCATTCATGGTTTTAATTTTAAACTCTGTTCATGCCAGCTTAATGTATTGTTTGGCAGTCACAGACAGCTGTTATGGTAGATGTAGGGAGTGCTATTCAGTAGTATAATTTTCTATTATTAAAAGAGTCTGAAATATATTGGCCAGAATCCAGAGAGCTACATTGGATATACTCAATGGATTTTTCCCCTTTGAACAACAGCACTCTATTTGAGATCAGAAACTACTTTTAAATGTCCCCTGAATTTCAACTATGTTAACCATATGACATGGTGGACAAAACACTTTAGAAACAGACTTTCAGAACTCCATTGCAGAAATAATTTTGCAATTGTTTTGATTTAGGCCATAGATTAGAAATTTGGGTCCACAGCAATTTCTTAGTACATGTCATTTTTTTTCTTTTCCTGTCATAGAGTGAAGTATCGCAGGGATGTTTCCCTCTTTAACTATTTGACTTTGTTCTTTGCTTGATGTGAATGCCATTGTGTACCTTGATTTAGGGGTGGTGTGCAAGTAGAGGACTCTGTCTTGAGGTAGGGTCAAATAATTAAACTAAATAACTCTTTTGTCCATTACAGCAATGTAGAACTGTATCTGTTTTGTATCTCAAGAGTCTGAGACTTTCCTGTAATGGGATGGTATACTATTCTGCAAAATATCATGTCCACACATGATGATATATAAACAGTCCATGACAATATTGGCCTTTACAGCAAATGTCAACAAATGTGTGACAGTTATAATCCTAATTCACTGATTTTATATAATATAGTACTAGGGTCCTATAAATGCCATTAACAGATTGCCGTGATTTTCTTTAAGTAATTTTCCTTAACAAATCCAGCTTTGTTAGTCTCAGCTGAATGAATGAGATATATTAAATCAGTACTTCGGTAAGTTCAGTTGATTCACTGTTCTAAGTGGAGTTAACAGTTGGATATATCTCCATGTTTCTAGAAAACAAGCCAGTAAAATATTCAAAGTAAACTTTTTGCCCACTGAATAATTTTTTTCAAGTAATGTACCCAGAGGTAGTTTTTAGTTGTTATGTTTGTTTGCAGTCCTGAAGTTTGGCTTGTATTGAAACTAAGACTTACTGTTGTACTATTACAACATTTTTGTTGTGAAATAAATAAGACTACATTTCAAATAGAAGTTAAATATCAGATCATTATAAATGTAAGTGGAAATAATTGGGTTTATGTGAAGTTCTCTGTCTGCTTAAGGATTCATAATTCAACAAAGAATTTAACTTTTTTTTAATTTTGACATTCATAAATAGTAGTGAGAATACAGTGTTATCCAAGCTTTTCTTACTGCAAGTGCAGTCTGAACATTCTTACTACATCTGCATGCTATGTTGAAAGTATTAGGCATTTTAACAAAATTATCACCAAGGTACATTCAGAAATATACGCAAACAGAGTGTGCACTAATGAGCTTTATAATTAAGGGACTCACTTCACACATCTATTGTTAACTGGTGGCATTGCATCTGTCTTGCTCTATTGATGCCCTTCTCACTTACTTATTGAAGCATTTAACAGTTTTGGCAACAGGGAATTACATAGTATGGGGTAAGTAGTCTAATTAGATGCAAGTGAAAGTCTTTGGGGAGATGGATATTTAAAATGTAATTTGAAGAATCTCTTAATGATGCTGGCAGTGAAAGCTGTAGGAGACTGTGGAAAAAAGCATGTCAACATTGCAAAGCATGGTTACAGCAGTAGTCATTCTATTTTGTTATTTGTAGGGTTTTTATTTATTTACACTAAGTATTAATGAGACACTTCAGTGGTTTTTATTTGGAAATATAGTAACTAGTAAAGCATTATCTTTTTTCTGTTAACTACAGAGACCTTACATAGCAGAACCTCTTGCTGGAGCATTCAATAAACAAGGAGAGGCTCAGTACTAGAGAAAATTTGCTTTTCCCTGCAAAATGAGGGAGAGGGCCCAACCATTGCTCAGATAACTGTAGCCTTTGATAGAGAGTAGAGAGAAATGTCACCGACATGGAAGAACTAAGAGGGCTTGATGCCTACTGGGTCCCTTCTATACAGAAAGTCAGGGCACCAAGAAGTGCTTATGTCATTTCTAGGTAGTCACTCTGCCCTGGACTCTTCCAAGCTAAACTAGACACATTGACTATCATGGAATTCTTCCACTCACTGCAGAGGTAGACATCTTATGGCCCTTCAGTTATCATCAGATAGCAAATCCCACCAGCCATGGCATGTATAATCAGAGGAGACGGAGTGAGAGTTGAAGACCAACAACACCCAAAGGACCACATAACTACAGCACTCCCAGTTTATTACCAAAAGAGGATATCTCTGGTACCTGGGGGATGCTGAAAGTTCCAAGAGCAACCGAGTTTGCTAATGTGCTTGTCCATTCACCACCCCTTCCTGAGAAGTATATAGATTTTTTTTTCTATTGAAAAGTGTCAGAATGCCAGGCTTAAAGCCCAAAGAACCCCAACCCCTCAGTCATTGCAGAAGAAGGGGACTGGGAAGAATTGTCAGGGTCTGGAAAGATAAAACACAAGAGTATGGAACACTTGGTCCTTCTAGTGGTTACAACTACAGTTCCCACAACGGGCTACACTGGCTTTTGAGAGGCAAAGCCCAAAACATCTGGAGAACCAAAGATCCCCATCTCTGGTAGAAGACGGCCATCAGCATGTTATTTGTACCCAGTGATCTGTCCATGGTTCTGCAAGTCCTGCATTTGGTCCTCTTTATTTTATTCTTAATACTGAACTCTGGACCTCACTTGGAGATCTCTCTCTGGTTGTTGATAAGAATTGGCCTCATTCATCCTGTTCCAGAGCTATCACTCTGGACTGCTGTCTACATCACTTATTTCCTAATCTGTTGGTTGGCTCTTCTGCTGTGAAAAGGTCAGCAGTGTGCATCTGTGGAATGCATATTAGAATATTAAAACAGAACATGTCCAATTCTGTTCTAAATGTGGAAAATAGGATCAGAATGGATCAGAAGCTGTTGTGGGTGAAACCTGCCTTTTTTGCAGATTCAGTTGGGATAGTAGTTTGGATGGCTACAGTGCTAGCTATCTCTGTCAGAGAGGAATGTGCTTCTGTGGCATTGTGTGCTGCAAACCTTTCTTGCTAAGACTTCCCTGTATGCATCTTCATACCTCCTCGTATCTACCTCCCTCTTCTAGATTTTCACAGCCACTGTGTGTTTCTCTTGTCTTCTGGTTTTTCCAATGTTTCCTCTTTGTGTCAGATGTTCAGCATTATACTCCACAAGAGGGAGCTCAGAAGGTCTTTGCTGTCTTTTTGCAGCAGATGTTTTAAATTATATGCAAGAGGCCTGCCTCTCTCTCTCTCCCTCTCTCTCCCCCCCACTCTCTCTCTCTCCCTCCCCCCCCCAGGTATTTTCTAGACAGTGGAGAGCAAGTGATCTTCCAGTCCTTTTAAATTGCAGTTCTCAGACGTCTTGGTTAACATGACCAAAGGAGTGGGAAAATGGGCCAGTTTTCCTTCATCCTAGTGTAGAGGCTTCTAACTTAGGAAGCAGTTACTGAAATCCAGATGTACTGATCAATACAGTTAGAGGGGTTTTTTTTAAGCATCTTACTGAAACATTACAGTTCTGCTTGGTGTACTAATTAGGAGATAGGATGTCTCCATTGCTTTGTATGCTTCTGCATTCCATTTATCTTATTGTATGCTCTTACCGTGACCACTCCCTTTTTGTTTCAGAACTAACCAAGATGCCATCTTTGGCCCCATTCATACTAACAGTAACCCAAGTTAGTTCAGTCCAGAATTTAAAAAATTGTTTCTAACCACAATTTCAACTCTGGAATGAAATTTATTGTGGTTTGTACTAATATTAACTAGATCTGAAAACAGAAGGGAGGCAGGGAATCACACACAAAAACACTGAAAAACAAAGAGAAAGGAGCCAGCAAGCACTTGGTTTAGCATTCTAGTTAATCGAACAAGATCAGTGGATTGCCTGTTATTTGACTTTGGGAAAGTGAAGTGAAGAACATTAGTGTGTAGGCTGCAGCTTCTCTTTTTAGTTCACTATGATATCATTTGCTAGCCACAGCAATTGATGACTGCTGTTTGCCCCTCAATCCTGCTGTAAATCAGGGCCCAAAGCAGCAATACAGCAAACCTTTTCCTGCTCAATGGAAGACAAAAATAAATTTTAAAAAATTCAATGAGCTGTTCCCATCATGT